TAATTCTCTGGCCGTCCATACTGTCCATTATTAGGATTGGGCGGGGCCGCACCGGGGGGTAAAGTGGCGTAAATAGATGAAGGACGTGAGTACCTGTTCTGCTGAGGTGTCTGTGACGTAGGGCGGCGCTGCGGAGGGCGGGAAACGCGACGAACGCCGCCTTCAGGTGGAACAGGTCCCTTGTCTGACAAGCTAATACCGCGCGACCGGGGTTGGCCACCCGATGTTGGGGAGGACACCGTGTGGGTGACATCATGTTCTACGCCATAATAGTCACCATGACCAGTTTGGAACGGATTCGCCGTCTCAATAGGGAATGAGATTGGTGCTGTCGCTTGACGAATTGTTCCATGCCCGCCAGTCACACGTACGTTATGATGATCATGATTTCCACGGCCTGGGGATGGGCGACGTTGGGAGGCTGCGGCTGATGCACCATGGTATTCTTCGGCCTGGTGCTCAGTCGCGGTCGAAGTAGGGCTGGAGACGAGACGTTGGTGGGAGGAGGCGTTATCTGAAAATACGTCTTCGTTGGACCGGGCAACAGAAGTCGAAGAACCACCAGCTAGCGGGCGATTTAAGGCGAGTGGTGCGGGAAGGGTGAGCAGTTGTTGACTATCGAGACGCGGACGAGGGGCACTAGGGTTTGCGAAAGAATCTGCTGTGCTGGCATCGAAGCCTTGTGAGGGAGTGACACCAGGTGTCAGTGTTGGACACAGTAGAGTACCTGCAATAACGGGTCAGTCATTCGTGATGGGAGGCTAAGATCCGGACTCGTACCGCCTCGGGGAGTTGGCCTTGGGGTCATAGTAGGTCGAATCCCTTGAGTATACACCATTCTTCCATCGCCTCTCGCGCTCAAACTCGGCCCAACGCTTCATTACGATGTTCGTCGAGTCAAACTCGCCTTCCTTGTCACCGTGGTTTCCACCTTTATCACCAGAAACCTGCCGCGTCTGACCCCACGAAAAGTCGTCGAAATGCCAGTACGCGTATGCGGGAAGGATACCGTTCCAGATGGGGAAGCGAAAGGAGGTATACCAACATCCAGCCCACATATGCAATCTTGCGCGTGGTGATGACGATGAGTAATCCGGGCAGGCCAAGAATGATAGCCAAAAGGGCGAGAGGGATGGTGGTATTTGGACCTCCGGGGACGATGGTGCTGATTATGAGGTATAGGGTGAAAGAAATAGCGGCAGGGAGTACGAGGGTACCAGCCAGCTCCATACCAACAACAAACTGCATCGAGAAGCAGAACGTCCCGCAGAGGTCGCGGACGAGGACGAGCTCAGCGAGATTGTGTACTGTTGAGTTGATCCAACGACGACGCTGAGAGAGAAGAACTCTAAATGTATCTGGCACAACGGTCTTGCAGACGGCAGAGGGCAAAAATAGGTTTTTGCGCTTCGGGAATGTCTTCAACATGAGTGTCGTTAAATACCTATCTTCTCCGAGGAGTAACAGGTTCTTCTTGTGTAGAGTATCGACCACGTTCTCCGAGTAATGTTCCACGATATCGGGGTTGGCGAGAATGGGGACCCAGTATCCGGAGGCACCTTTTGGGGCCTTGATACGATACATGCTGAAACAGCCCGGCAAGCATGTCACGCCGCCGAACATCGATTCAAACGCCTTGGTCATGTGGTGAGAAATGTAATACTCGAACACTACAGAATGGGGTCAGTCAAACGGTAAGTCGGACGAGGTAAACCTACCTTGAATCATGGTAACCCAAGTCTCCCCCTTGTTAGCGATCTTGGTTTCACCGCAAAGGCCCATAATCTCCTCGTCTTGAACCATGCATGAGGCCATTCGAGTTAGCGAGTCAGGGAACACCTTCGTATCGGCGTCCACACAAAGCACCAATTCGTAGCGATCCGGGCTCACTCCAGTTACCCGCCAAAGTGAATTGAAGAACTCGTATTCGAAGGTGGTCATCCGTTCGTCGAACATGACTTTCTGAAGGAAAGACATGAGGACGATCTGCGAGTCTCGTTTGCCGCGATTTCCGGGCTTGGCATCCGTCGCTTCCAATGGGTTGCCCGTCTTTGCAACCAATACCACGGGCACACGCTGCTGCTTTGACTTTTCTACAGTGTGGTCGTCATAGTCGTAGAAACCAGCATAGACCTTGGCCATATTGTGTCGCTTGTGCCCGTCTGCAATGGCAACGTAGGAATGAGCCTCGACGTCTTCAGGTTCGATCACAAACTCTTTCATCATGGATAGGCAGATCTCTGGAGTCGTCTTGTCATTCCCAGCGCCTTTGACCACGCCATCTGCGATAACCAAGATGAGTTTGTGACTGTTTGGATAGTCGGTTGTAGCGAGCGAATCGAGCGTCGTGCGCAGGACCCTCCACGGACTCGGAATATGCGGTGACGAGACAGATCGTATGTGCGAGCGGGAAACCAAATGGCTCAAATCCCGGGGCGGGCTGGGGAACAACGTTGTTCAAAGGGAAAGGACACACAACGTCTGTGAATCCGCGCGGATCATTGAGGGAGGTGGAACTCCTCGAATCGCGATAGAGAGCGTCGGCAGTGAGCTTGTTGCCCTTTCCGGAAACAGAGGGGGCACCATAGACGCTTGTCGTACCACGCTTGTAGGGAATCGCATCTGGCGCACCATATGAAGTATTCGGCCTGGCGCCGACGCCTTTGATGACGTTATCCGAGGGTGTGAAGCGCGATTGACGGGGCAGGATGCCCTTCTTCTCCTTTTTGTGAGGTGTAGATCCGTTTTTCGAGACGTTAGGTCGATACTGACTCGGGGCTGGGCGGTAGATGTCATTCGTCCAGTTCTCGATCTCGGCCATTCGTTGAATGCGCTGCTCATATGTTTCGTGTTTGGACATGCCAAGTCTGTGCGCGAAAAACCAGGCGAACATCACAGCCATGATGAAACGAATAGCGACAACGCCGACGATGAAGATGAGGGAGACATAGAGGACAACATCCGAGGCTACGCAGCCGATGCTATTCGTGTCGATGAAGCCAACGCCAATGGTATTCTGTAGGCAGTGACCCAATGTCTGTTGTTTCGTGCGCTCCATGAACATCGATATGTCCTTTCCATTGAAAGTGCCATTGGGGTTCGCAAATTGATCAAAAATCGCGGGGTAGTTAACCTCTCCTTTGCTGAGCCATTTGAGGAGGCCGAAATCCAAGACGGTCCTGCAAAACAAGACTCAATTGACACCTCGATGAGAGTTGGTGCCACTTACGACTCGTAAACGGCGAGATTCCGGTTTGAGTTCTTGACGTCGTTCCACGAGTAGTATACTTGTCCCATAGGGCTGAGCTTTGCCAACTGTGACCGCGCCGTGGAAGAGAGGTGACAATTTGTGTTGCTCTCATATCCCGAAAAATTGGCTCCAGACGTGCCCTGCTGATTGTAGATGTTGCAGGGGAAATACCAGTCTAGCTGCCCGTTATTCCCGCTAATGGTCGAGTTTGATGCCTTGGTAATAATTCCCTGACAAGGTCCGTTCGTGTTTTGGAATAAAAACGAAATGTCATTGCCAGCCGCATTCCAATTACCCTCGAAGAGAGGATTGCTGCGTCCATCAAAATTTCCAACTTTGGGGTGCGCGAAATGGGAAAAGTCGTAATCGTAGCCATGAATGATGACGGACGCTTTATCGATGAAGCCAGCATGGAACCGGTTGGGAGGAGTTCCGCAGACGACCTCAGTGAAACCAAAAGTCAAGAAGCCGACGCCAGCCATCAGAAGGACGATTAAACTGATCAGGCCCATTTTTTCTCTCCAGGCACGCTGTTGCTCAGGGCTGCGGATACCTGACCGATGAAGTATTGAAGCCGAGTGGTTGAGGGCGACAACAGAAATACTCACCGCACGATCTAAGTAAGAACGGGGGCACGCAAACCGTGAGAAGGTAGCAATAGGTGACCCAACCATCGTGCGGCCCTGGGATGTTCCCTAGACAGCCTCGACGGCGACTCGGCGGTTCTTCTACGTCCGTTGGGACCTGCCGCTTCCTTCGGAGGGTCGTACCGCGCTTGAACAAAGCGAGACCCGACTCGTGCACGTCTTCCTCCCTACCCAAAAGAGACCGACCACGGCGAAGGGGAGCCCGGTGAGGGGCATTGCCGGTGGCTGAGAAGGGAAGGTATTTGCAAAGCATAAAAAATTGGCGAAGACAAAACATACTGGATGGTCGAACGAGGTTTGCGTTGGCATCTTCAAGCCTTGCGGCATGTGAGCGGTAGTGCCACTGTCTATGACCAGGTTCGATCTTCTCCCTATCAGGCCGCACGAGGCTTTTCTTCCTGCCAACCAGCGCGGCGTCTGCCATCGTGTAGCCAGTTTCGGGGTCGGGACTTGGCAGTGACGATACGTTCTGATAAGCAGAGTGTTGCCGTACTCGGCCAGGTTGATCGAGAGGCGCCCGACGGTCTCCCCTTTCAGTATTTTGAAAAGAGACATTGTTGGCGCTGCGACCAGCCTCGTAGGATTGAGGGGGAGTTTGGTTATATGGACTATAGGGGGAGGCAGGTCGATCGATATAGGAAGGAGGGGAGTTCGGGGCCTGGGGTTGTTGGGGATATTGTGAATATGATGGTCTGTGAGCGCGAGGGGGACGCTGTCCTTGGTAATCCATGGTGGATGTAGTTAAAGGTGGAATCTAGGAGCGCATACAAGGAGGGGGGGTGGGTAGGGAGGGAGGGAGGAGAGCGTGGCGTGGGGGAAGGGCGTGGAGGGAGCGTGGGTAGGCAAAGAGACAGGGAGTGCCGAGTTAAGTTGTGTTGTGGAACAAGACGCGTGAGGCGCGGCAAGGTGACGCCGCCTGTCCAACTTTGACCTCCTTGGTGATTCAAGAGTTCGGGTGAATGCCAGTTGTTCTACAGACTCATATCATGTCCAAGGGCCTTAATCTAGAGAAAGAAAAAGGCTTGAACCAAATGGACCACGGGACTGCTCGTCTTCACGTTGTCCTCAAATTTATGAATTCACTAAACAGGAATGTGTTGCCGGGCGAGATGGCCGAGCGGTCTAAGGCGCCAGACTAAGGATCTGGTCTCTTCGGGGGCGTGGGTTCGAATCCCACTCTCGTCAACTTTTTTGCCCATATTCAAGATCAGGAATTGATCCTTGGGCGAAAAATCTCACTTTCCACCCCCCTTATCACCCCACAAACAAATCAGGCGAATGGTGACACGTTGCGCATTGTACATGTTGATTGGTACTACGACCACTCTTTTATTTTCGCGCAAGGCAACGCTAGGGCTGCGTGCCTTGGTAACGGTTCAAGTCAAGGTTCAGCGATAGTTCAGCGCTAGAGCCCCAACCAAACCTAGGGATTACAGTACAGTCGGACCCCTCATAACCCATAGCATGGGTAACCCATAACCCCCCATACCCCATAGAAAATTGAGTCCACCAAGTTGGTAGGCGGGGATTTGCACACCATAACCCATAGGTACGCCAAACTCCGTACCCCATAGACCTTCATCAGCAAAAACCCATAGTTGCGAATCGGGTTAGTGTTGCACCTTTGTCAAGACCTTCATCTAGTTTTAGTGTCAAATGTCAACAGCAATTACACAAACCTACAGTAAACAACTTGGAAAATCTGAATGCGTTTTGTTGCTGTCTTGAAGCTTTACTCCGCTTGTCTTGAAATCAACTTGGAACTCTTCAGAGAAGCCTTGCTGAGTCCTTGGGGAAGGTCAAGGATAGGAAGGAGTCAGACAAACTCAATGTGAAGCTGTCCCGGTGATACACCTGGTCTTTGGCCGCGCTCAGTATGCTTTCTCAGCACGACGTTCCCATGCTGCGTGCTCGGCCTCTACTCTTCCCTCCTCATGTTACCATTCTCTGGTTTATCCAATGCACCTTTTTTCTTAGCCCATGTAATTACAATTTTACACCTCAGACTTCTAATAGTAGACTTCTCCCTCAGATTTCGGACTTGTGAGCTCAGTGAGGATCATCCCTTGCGTTCCCCGGCATGCCGCACTCGCGCGCGGCCTTAGCAACTCGAACCCAAGGCATTCCCAACCTCGACAGTCACCTATACGAAGTTTCGCGCCATGCCGAAGCATGCGCGATCGTTCCCGATCACTTGCGACCACCCGGCCTTCAGGCTCCATGTAGCCTCTCTTGACCTCGCCGCACTTGTGTGCGGTCTTAGCCCTTCGACACCGACACGTCTACAATCTCCACGGACCTATATACAACAGCTCACACCCCGCGGAGGCCCGCGCAACATCCTCTGAGACCTTATTTAATGTTTTCCGAGACGTCATTTCTCCTAACCCATAACCCCTCATAACCCATACCGGGTTATGAGGGTAGTTGAGGGGTCCGACTGTACCACGATCAGCGCTTCCGGACGGTTGACGTCATGACTGTGGTCGATGAGGTCATTGTTGAGATGTCGAACAAACAAGACAGAACTATACAGTAGCGTTTCAACGTCGCTTCAACTCCTTCTTCGACTTGCATACATCACTTAGAGGTGGGTCTATAGGTTGTTATAATGAGGTTAATCTAATTGACAAACCAGCAGATGTTGAACCCAGACCTGTTCATCAAAGGCTACAAAATCGATCGCGACAAACTTGAACAGAATTCGACAGTTGCGCGGATGATCCTCAGAATACGAGGTTTATACCCCTTTGGAAGCACTTTCCACTTCCTTTCAAGTATCTTGCGACAATAAAGGAGGAAAATGGGATCACCTTGGTGGTGGTCCTTGAAGACGGATACAGTAGAGAATGTCTAGAGGAGAAGGAAGTTCCGCTTCTTGGTGGTTCATATGACAAGGTTTTTACTCTCGGGGTATGGGTCCGTCACTAAGGCAGAAGGAGAGGGGGACATATTTGTGCAGACAATTGTAACGAGGTCAACAAAGGTGAGATGCACCTAAGGGCACACTTTTCGCCCCACACTTTCGAGGCGGCGAATCACAGAATTAATCACACTCCCTGGCGGGCGCGTTGGCCCACTTTGCCTGGCCCCTCACGACTTCTCCCACCGCGTTCCCCCGAGCCCCCACGAGTCGCAGAGCCCCTCGCTCACCGCTCAGGTCCGCTCTTGCTCGTCGCTCTCGCAGTTACTCGGAACCGCTGTGCTTGGTGAGTCCCTGAGTCCTCCCTTATCGGATCGATCGAGGGGGCCTGACTGTCGACGAGAGTAGACATTGATATGAGATTCCTAGCCACTGGCACCCCTCCTCTCGTTGCTCTCCCTCCATCCCTCCCTCCGGAACCGCTCGGAACCGCTCTCGGCGAAGAGTTGAAGAGAGCAGACATTGATCCCTCTTCTCGTTGCCAACCTCGCTCGTGAGTCCTCTCTGTCGGATTAACCACGGGGATCCAACTCAGACTTGGTCGTCCCTCATCGTTTTGTGCTCTCGCAGCCACCGTGAACTCGTTCCATGTTCCGCCAAAGATGTCCCCCCCATATGCATGGGGCACGCTGCGTGGTGAACCGAAGCCCAAGACGCACCATCTCTGCAAGAACGCGCAGAACGCGAGAAGGCCGTGCAGGGTGCCGGTGCTACCTCACCAGCCGCCCTCTGCTACGGCTGCCCTCTCTTTCCCCTTGCTCATTACTTCACTCATTCTACCTTCCATCGCCCATAGACCGCCGGAGCCCGTATTCGCTTTGCAAGAGGCTCCCCAGCCCCTCGTAGCCAGGCCCCGCGCCTCGTGCTGCCTCACCATCCCGTCTTCGTCGCATCGCCCTCAGTACCCGTCCCTTTGAAGCTGTCAAGACTGCTTTGCAATCGTCGACCACTTCCGCCGGCCGCCCCTTTCAACTTGTCTCTGGCAAGGGCGCGGTTCTTCTTATTCTATTAGTGCGCTCGCCGTCGCTCGTGCTTCGGCTTCGGATCTCTTCCTTGTCATCACGGTGTCCTCGCCACCCGTTTCGCCACATTGTATCTTACGCCCTCGATTCCGCGCCTCGATCATCTCCGCGTTCCGTCTTGTGTCCTCCCCCTATGCCACCCTTTACACTACATTCCCTCTTACCTACATCTTACCTTGGCTCGGACGTAGTTACTGGTTTTCTTTGTATTTAAACCCATTACTTCAGCTGAATGCAACCAGCGCCCGGTCGCCACTGTTTCCCTCCGCTCTTGCTACCTGGGCGTGCTTATCCCAGAAGTCAGGCCCTACCACGGGCACCCATAATCCCGTCTCGTCTCGTTTCGCTTCTCCTTGTCTCGCTCTCGGCTCCTCTTGGCCTTCGATGCTTCTGTCCCTCCTATCTAGCCCCTGCGAAATAAATTAAAAAACAAAAAAATTAAGCCTTGTCCAGTCCACACATCTCGTACGGTGCTTTCGAATGTCATTTTATGCGGGCGCGTTCTATGCAGAAGGGGAATCAATCGGAATTCTACCAGCAATATGGCGATAGTATGTCTAAACGGTGCATGTTAGACGTCAACCTGCTTATAGCCCTTCGCCCAGTTCTCCTCGAGAAGCATAGCGTACTTCTCTGACAGCTCGCGACAACTTTTGTAGTGATTGACGCCCTCCGTACGGTAGCAGTTCTGAGGCTGGTTATGGACGATGCAGGCCTCCATGGCTCGAACCCGGGATTCACGTACATGCGCATCACGGGCAGCGACCCATGTTTTGAGTTCTGCGGCTCTGTCGTCTGCACCGCCCACCGAGCGTATGCTCGCCCCGAAAGCCACTTCTTTTACCCCCCAACCGGAGACTCAGCCCACCCCGGTTCGAGGAGCCGCAGCCCACACCCGTCACTGTCCCAGAAGAGCCGATTTTGGGATGGAACGAGCTCGTGCGACTCGTTGAAGGCTCTGGAGACATTGAAACTATAGAAGGTGCATACGAAAGCTTCTTAAGATGTATCCGAATGACCCGGTCCGCTCAAATGGCCTACTTCAACCACTTTCTTGTGCCAGGCCATCCAACATTTCCGTCTCCCGCGCAGCTCACTCGGGCTCATGCGCACGGGCTCCCAAACTGACACATGGACCCCAGCATGCGCGCACGCACTCCATCGCCACATTGGCGCCGAACCTTCTCGACGGCGGTGGTCACAGCGTGTAGGAAGGTCAATTACACAGATGCACGATTCACTAACCGACGGTAGCCTACTTTAACGAGAAGAATACGAAAGCTATGATACGATATGAGTCTGAGCTATTATGTGGAGGGGGTAGGCAACGACAACAATCCTCCATTGCAGCGTCGTCCCCGGGGGAAGGATGCCGCTGTCGATCGGTCTTCATCGGTGTCGTCAGAAGTGGACAGTCAGGCCCCATGTTCAGCAAACGGGCAGACGTGGGTGGGCAGTAGGCCTCACCCTCCAGAGCGAGAGCACGCGCACTCTTCTCGGTCTGGCTCCCGCTGTTTCGCTGGGCTTGTAGGATGTAGTTATCGATCTGCGTGTGGAGGGCCAGTCAATACACAGCGCCATCGGAGACATTCCCGGGCACGCCGCACTCACCCAGGCCTTGGCAGACGAGACTGCGTGATCGGGTGTAGGGGGCATCATAGAAATGGGGGATGTAATCGTTGAGGTGGACGAACCTGTTGTCGTCGTACAGTTGCCGTTGTCTTCGCCTCTGCCTTCACCACACGCTGCGCTTTCGAACGACTCTTGCAGCTCGCATGCGCCTTTTCTAACAAGCCCAGGCCTGAGTGGAGCAAGACTTTGAGCACGACACCGCCTCAGGTGCAAGGTGAGTACGTTCTTTCACTCTCCATCGGCCCCGTGCTCACGCGAAACTCTCTTCGTGGCGAGCGATCAGTGCTCCCTTGTTCCCTCCGAGTTTGAGGCTCGTCCGGCAGGTGTCCTTCGGCTGGACGACAGAGCGCCTGGAGTTGAGGAAAGTCGGGTCAGTAAATGGGGCGGCCCCCGTGATGCGGCCAGCCTCGACTCACTATGCTAATCCTCCTCCATCTGTCGGGGGGGTGTCTGCAAGTGCGAGGGAAGCGCGATGAGACGGCGCAAGTTGCAACAGCTCACGGTGTTGAGCCTCGTGGATGCAATGTGATGGCAATGCGGACGATGCTCGCCACCACTGGAAGTCTGTCTGACAATTGTGACAAAGACATAATCGCCCCACGCTCACG